TGCCATGTTGGGCTGTGCCATGCCATGTTGGGCTGTGCCATGCCATGTTGAGCTGTGCTGTGCCATGTTGGGCTGTGCCATGCCATGTTGGGCTGTGCCATGCCATGTTGAGCTGTGCTGTGCCATGTTGGGCTGTGCCATGCCATGTTGGGCTGTGCCATGCCATGTTGAGCTGTGCTGTGCCATGTTGGGCTGTGCCATGCCATGTTGGGCTGTGCCATGCCATGTTGAGCTGTGCTGTGCCATGTTGGGCTGTGCCATGCCATGTTGGGCTGTGCCATGCCATGTTGAGCTGTGCTGTGCCATGTTGGGCTGTGCCATGCCATGTTGGGCTGTGCCATGCCATGTTGAGCTGTGCTGTGCCATGTTGGGCTGTGCCATGCCATGTTGGGCTGTGCCATGCCATGTTGAGCTGTGCTGTGCCATGTTGGGCTGTGCCATGCCATGTTGGGCTGTGCCATGCCATGTTGAGCTGTGCTGTGCCATGTTGGGCTGTGCCATGCCATGTTGGGCTGTGCCATGCCATGTTGAGCTGTGCTGTGCCATGTTGGGCTGTGCCATGCCATGTTGGGCTGTGCCATGCCATGTTGAGCTGTGCTGTGCCATGTTGGGCTGTGCCATGCCATGTTGGGCTGTGCCATGCCATGTTGAGCTGTGCTGTGCCATGTTGGGCTGTGCCATGCCATGTTGGGCTGTGCCATGCCATGTTGAGCTGTGCTGTGCCATGTTGGGCTGTGCCATGCCATGTTGGGCTGTGCCATGCCATGTTGAGCTGTGCTGTGCCATGTTGGGCTGTGCCATGCCATGTTGGGCTGTGCCATGCCATGTTGAGCTGTGCTGTGCCATGTTGGGCTGTGCCATGCCATGTTGGGCTGTGCCATGCCATGTTGAGCTGTGCTGTGCCATGTTGGGCTGGGCTGTGCCATGCTGGGCTGGGCTGTGCCATGTCAGGCTGTGCCATGCCATGTCGGGCTGTGCCATGCCACACTGGGCTGTGCCATGCCATGCCCCACCGTGCCGTGCAGTGCCGTGCCATCCAGTGGGCACCCACCAGCAACCCCTGCCCTCCCACTTCTTGCAGGCAGCGACTGAGGGACAACACGACTAAGATCCACATGCACCTCCTGGCTGCGCTGCTCCTGCTCAACTGCAGCTTCCTGCTGAGCACGCCGCTGGCCGACAGCACAGAGGGGCTCTGCAGAGTCACTGCTGCCCTGCTGCACGCTGGCCTTCTCTGCACCCTGGCATGGATGGCTGCTGAGGCCTTCCACCTCCTCCTCCTCCTCGTCAAGGTCTACAACATTTACATCCAGCACTACCTCCTCAAGCTCTGCCTCTTCGCTTGGGGTGAGTGGGCACCTGCTTGGCCATGCCTGCCCATGGAACGGCTGCCATGGCACTGCTCACACAGCCTCTCCCCGGGCCCACAGGTCTGCCCACGCTGGCTGTGGTGGCTGTTTTTGTCTTCAGGAGAGACACGTATGGGTACCACACCATCAAAACCTCTGAAGGCTACAGAAATGTGACTATGTGAGTGAAGGGGTCTGCCAGGTCCTCGGGCACCCTGGACACACTGGGCACCCCATGGACCCTGGGCACCCTGTGGACCCTGGGAACCCCTGACACACCAGGCACAGCCCAGGCACAGCACAGGCTACAGACACATCATGAACCCCAGGCACAGCACGCACCCTGGGCGTGCCAGGCACCCTGGACACACCAGGCACCTTGGGCACATGGGGCACCCCATGCAGTCTGGGCACCCTGAGCACACCAGAAACCCCAGACACATGGGGCTGACCCAGGGCTGGGGCCAGCAGGAGCCAGCCATCGCTCTGCTGGGTGCCACTTTTTGGTGAGCGGCCCACCTCCATCTCACCGTGTGTGGGAGCACCTGCCACCATGCCCCTCCTGCACCCAACTCCTTCTAGGGGGTGCTGGCCCTTGTCCTCGAAGATGTCCCCTTTGCCAGGTGCTGGCTGACCAGTCCACCCGCCCATTATGCCACCCTCTGCTATGCCGGCCTCATCCTGCTCTTCAACACGTTGGTGCTGGGGAGGGTAGTGACAATACTGCGGAGGATCCAGCAGCAGAAGGGGCAGGCGAGGAAAGACTGGGTGACGGTGCTGGGGCTCACCTGCCTGCTGGGCACCACCTGGAGCTTGGCCTTCTTCACCTTTGGTGTCTTCCTTGTCCCCCAGCTCTACCTCTTCACAATCCTCAACTCCTTGCAAGGTAGATGGGGAGCACCGGGGCAGGGAGGAGGAAGTTTTTGAGGGGACGGGCACCCTGTCACCCCGTGGTTTGGGAGCAGCAGGGTCCTTGTCACCTTCCTACTGCTCACAGGAGCTTGGTGCACCCATGGCAGTGACCACCTTGTCATGCACGCACAGGTCTCTTCGTCTGCCTCTGGTATGTCACCGTACACCGCCAGAGCAAGCTGCGCACCAACATCAACACCTACAGATAACCTACCCCGACACCAGGGTGAGGGGCTGCGAGGGGGGCGCGGGAGCTGGTCAAGGGTGCGGCATGGTGGCATCCCCTGGGCTGGACAGCCAGCACCTGCATGCTGTGGTTTTGTCAAGGGGACCATTTGGGCTGCAAAGCCAGATTTATGGGCAACAGTGTCACCGAAAACCGGGATAAAAGTAACTTATCAACACCAATGTGATGTAGATAAGCAGACATTTCTTTATTGACAGCCAGACATGTAGGGGAGTGCTCTCAGCAACAACATGTACCAGGCACCAGAACCACACACCTTATATAGAACCTACTCATACATATTCATTAAGTATTCATACATAAACATACAGTTTCTAATAAATTATTAACATATTCTCCTCCTATTTCCAATTCTGCTCACTAAAGGTTAGAAATGTCTAGAAATGGCTCTGGGGTGTAATGTGAGTAGGTGGTCTGTGGGTCAGCTGTCGCGATCTCCCCCTGCCGGAATTACCTTTTGCTTAAGGACATCGTTTTCTTGGCAGGTACCTGCAAACTGTTACGGTCACTACCTAGGTTCTAACTGTTCCTACTAGACAATTATGACCAATCCCCCCGGCCTTGGTACGGGGCTGTACAGGGGATTTTAGAGTAGCAGTCGATTGCTAAATTCAAAGTACAATAAATGTAAATAAATGATTTTTACTAAAATATCTCTTAATTTTATACTTATATTAAAATCAAACACAATTTAATTTCAGTTGATAAAATCCGTAACAACGGGAGCTGCCTGGTGCTGGGGGCTGTGGCTTGGGGCCCCGCAGGCGCTGTGCACGGCTCCCCCATACCAGCCCAGGGCAGCCCTGACAGCTCGCAGCCCCTCATTAATAACTAACACTGACTTCTTCTGCTGAAAGTGGCCACTTTTCATTAAAAGCACCATTTAATTGCTGATGCAGGTCCAGAGCTGACCCCAGTCAGAGCGGCACCATTACAGCTGCACCGCTACAGCTCTGGCCAGCGGCCACGCTCTGCCTTGTTGTGAGTGAAAGTCCCACTAGATGGCACGAGGATTTCGAAGATGGTCCCAGCTCTGGACTGTGCACACAGCAGGGCTGGCCAGCTGGCTGAGCTGGTTAGCGGGGCTGGTTAGTGGTGCTGGTTAGCAGTGCCAAGGAGCTGGGAGGGGACTTCCGAGCCCCGGTGGGGAGCTTGTGGTGGTGCAATTCTCACCCCTCCCTGCTCTGCTTGTGGGGCTGCTTGGCTGCTTACGTCCCCTGGGCTGTATACCCATCTGTGGAGATAAGGACTGATAATGTTAAGGCATCCCCTTAACGAGCCTAGATCCTGCCCTCCCGATTGCTCTGAAGCGGTTAAAACGGCCCATCCATCTCCTGAGGGGCTGGCACACCTCTGCCTGGGATGGGGTCAGATGGGAACAATAACAGAGTTGCACATTCATTAAGTTCTTGTGCAACTGCTGGGAAGCACCAGAAGGGATCTGACAGAAGTTAATTATCTTGGACCCTATAAACTGCAGCCACCAGAGAGACCCTATGAGCTCTCCTGGACTGCAGCTGCCTGTGACCAGCACCTCCCCTGAGCTGGGACGCCTCTCAGGTACCAAAACCCTTAAGGTGTCATCTGCTGCCAGAGCTGAGGGAAGGCTGGGGCGAAGTCCACCTGCCTGAGTCTCAATTACCACCCGCTGAGGAATGCCAAGGCACTGGGAGTATTTGCTCTAAACTTGAGAGGGAAATTTTTCTTTGATCTAGCTTCTCTTTCATCCGTTCTTGCTCTGTTTATCAGTGTGTGGGTATGTAGTTCATTCTACTGCATCCAAATACTTGTGTGTGTCTGTGTGTCTGTGTGTGTGTGTATATGTGTTTGTACGTTCTGTGTATGCACATGTATTATGTATAAATTAAGGTACCGTTAAGTTAGTGTGAATCTTGTCATTTTAGAATCTGTAACTAAGTCTCTTTCCTTTCTTTCAACATTTCTGAATTATTTTGTAATGATGAATTGCTGTTATTTAGTAATAAATTTAGATTTCTTACAAAACCATTACTGTGTCAATACTTTCATCTGTGACAGAGCTGCCACTACACGTCTCACAGGGGAAAGGCAGAAGCAGCAGCTCTCCAGCTACATCCCCCCAACCCATTTGGTGCCAGCACAGCTGTGGGCTGCTGAGCATGGCTGTATAGGCGCAGCACCCCCAGATCCCTCCCTGACCCTGAGTTTTCACCCATGACAGCACCCCACCCAAAGCCCTCCTGCTTGCCCCAAAGGCAGAGCGGGGACAGAGGACACCCACAGCTCTGTGTCAGTGGGCAAATGGGCAAATAGAGCTTTGGCCTGGCATCGGACAGACGTGCTGGAGCAGAGGAGAGGGTGGAAGGTGAGTAAGCAAACTGATAACTTGGTTTTCCTCCCACTCACTTAGGAAGGTAGACCCTGAGCAGAGCTCCTCAAAGCGAATAAACACTTCATCAGGGTTTAAGCAGTCCAACCCTTGGGAAATAAATAGTCAGGCCAAATCGCAGGGACTAAAACCATTGGTTGGAGGTGGCGAGTCAGCCCTGAGTCCCAGGTGCATCCCTGTATACTGGACTTAACCCAGAACTGCATCCATGGCTTTGCCTTTCCTAGATTTTGGAGCTGTGCATCCTGCTCTGCCCGCTGGGATGCAGAGCAGCATCACAGCATGGTGATGCTGGTGTTACTGGAAAGAGGGATAAAGGAACTTATCAATGCCAATGTGATGCAGAGAAGCAGACACCTCTTTATTGACAGCCGGATGCGCAAGTGTGTGCTCCCACTAACAATGCACACCACTCACTAAAATCATACATCTTATATAGTATTTACTTATACATATTCATTAAGTATTCATACATAAACATACGGTTTCATAGAAATCATTAACATACTCTCCTCCTATTTCCAATTCTGCACAGCAGAACCCAGAAATGTCTAGAAATGAGTCTGGGGTGTAATATGGGTGGGTGGCCTACGAGTCGGTGGTCGCAATCTTCCCCTGCTGGAATTACCTTTTACCTGGTTTCACTGTTTCTTGGCATGGGCCTACAAGTTGTTACAGTTGACTTTCCCCAGTTCTCATTAATTCTAAATTCTGACACCTCTGTACCTTCCTTACAATATATTTTAGGTAATAGACTACTTCTGTTTAGACATCTCTATGACTACTTTAAAATTATCTTTAATCGCAGGCCTAATTATCTCAGGTCCTAAATGTACCTAGTAGGTGAGTATTGACCAATCCTCCAGCCTTGGTACAGGGCTGTACAAAGGATTCCATAGTAGCATTGGTTGCTGGATAAATGTGTAATATGCAAGGGTAAACATTTGCCTTATATTAAAATCATTCTTATATTTTAATTCTTTTTTCTATAAGTTTCACTATCCACTCACTATTAAATCATCAAGTAATTTAATAACAAGTCAGTAACACTGGCATGGCCACCAATCTGCCTGTGGTGACAACAGGCACCTCAGTGTCCCCGTGCCTGTAGATCTCAGGATGTGCCAGTGGGGTGTCATTTGCTGGTGACGCCTGTTTCTGGTCCAGGGGCAGGGACCCAGGCATCACCGGGCAGCCTCATGGGATGACACACTGCCCGTCTCTGCCAAGCAGCGATTCCCTTCCTGGCTGCTTCCCAGGGCCTGGTGCTGGGCTGCGAAGAAAGCTGCTGGCTATTGTTCTTTGTTCCATGCACAAAGGGCAGCCAGCGCTGCTGAGTTTCCATCCCTCCCGCCGGCAGCCAGGACAAAAGCGTGTCCTGAGGAGGCTGCGTGCCCCCGCTCCCAGCCCGCCGGGCACCGCGGTGCCCCCAGCTTGCGGGTGTGCCCCCGCCGTGTGGTGATGAGCTGTGCATGGCTCACCACTCCGGCAGCTGACTGCAGCTCTTAAATAAGAAGCCTGGGGGTTTGGTGAGCTGCCAAGTGCCCGCTTGTCCCCCATGAGCCCTGTTGTGAAAGAGTCGCATCCTGGTTGTGGCAGCTCTAGCCCCCTAGCTGCTCTTGGGATGTGCTTTCTGGGCCCTGTCTCCCCATCTCAAGATTTTGGGGCTTGCAGCATGAGTCACGGCAGCTGCTGGTGCCTGTGTACGTGAATACATCTTGTTCCTGTATGCGGTTGCGCTTGGAAAACAAGCGCTTGGTGATTGCCTCCCGGCAGTGGGAACGTGGCACCCGCAGGGCATCCTCAGGGACCTGGGCTCAGGGGCAAAAAAAGGCACTTTTCCTACCCCTCTGCACCAGGAGTCGAGTCAAAACACTCCCTGGGGTCCCCTGGGAGTGCAGGGTGGGATCCAAGCTCCCAGCACCCGCAGTACCCGGCAGTGCTGGGACCAACTCGCTCCAGCCTCGGGGCATGGTGGGCAGGAGAAGGGGGAGCCGGCCTATCTGATCTCCCCAAGGAGAAATAATCCTGTTTACCTTCCCCTGCGCCTTATCGGGCAGGAGCCTGGTGCTGAGCTGCCGGAGAGTGTTGTGCCGTCTTTTTTTTCCCCATGAAAGGTGGCTTGGCATCACCAAGGTGCCTTCAGGCCTAAACTAAGGGGCAAAGCTCTGGGATCATTGCAAATCCTCCAGATTTGGGGGAAACAAGCAGCCAGGGAAGAGACTAAATCCATTTGGGAATGGAAGGTTGGGGGCAGACCTCAGCTCTATTTTGGGATCTGCCTTGGAGACTTGGCTGCCAGGAGCAGACAAGCCTGGTTCCCGCATCCTGCAGGACCATCCTCACCCAGTGCTTGTGTAAATACCCCTGGGGACCAATTTTCCCCCAGACTTCCCTGACATCATCGCAGGTTTATTTGCAAAGCCGAGCCTAAACAAATAAATCAGGTTTATTGCTCTTTCTACGGTTGGGTTTTACAGCCCTGGCACCTGGTGAGTCGCTGTTATTGTTGCTGCCTGATGGAGAAACCCTGATGCGAGGTGGGGGGGACCCACCTCCCCATTTGATGTATTTTTGGGAGCAAGGCTGAGGGAGGTGGAG